CACAGCTGCTGCCACTGCACCCTAGAATTTAAGAATGAATACTTCAGCCTCTCCAGAGACCACAAATCACACCCTGATACTGTCAAATGATGACCTCAGAGCAGTGACCTCAGAGGCCCGTTCAATTAGGATCTGAAATGCTTGAGTCAACTTCAACACCCAGTCTGCAGGCAACAGAATGCGGGGAAGCCTCAGAAAATTCATACAGGAATAAACACTTTGCAGGGGCTACTGACACTGTATTATATAATGAGCGTGATCTGCTCTGAAGAGCCAGGCTGCAGGATCTTGCTGCCAGGGCCTCGAGTTATGGTTATTTACAATATACTTCCTGTTTCCAGTTGCCTTTTTAAAAAATAAAAGGTGCTTTTGACTCAGCATGTTTAGCCTATTATCCTTGCTCAATGCTGAAAAAACTGAATGGACATAGAATTCAAGAAAGAAAACAACAATCTAACACATTAGAGGCAGCTTCAAAATGCAGCCATACCCTTTGTAGAAGATACCAAATTCCAAGATGGTGGACAGAAATGAAAAATAAAAGAAGTACTTATGCTTTCCCAATGGGAAGGAGCCAAACTTTTATTAGTGGCTGTAACAGGCATTTATGGGCTTGGATTGGTATTTAAACCATCACCTTCAAGTGCAAAATCAAGCCTTAAGCCTGGTTGCCAGCTTCTTTCAAATGTTTAATTTGGAACCTTAGTTATATAATATGACAGTTCAGATAAGGCTGTGAGATTAGGCCACCATTAATAATGTTTGCAAAAAGAAAGTGCTCTTTCTGCCAAGACAGTACTTATGTCAGTCTGCACAGTAGCTACCAGCACTTTTATGAAAATGATACGGCTAAAGACCCCCTAAAGCTCCTTCCTCCACTTGCTTAGCCAAAGTAGGCACACGGGAGACAATAAACAGGCTGGATCATTTTGTTTAAATGTCCCTGGAATCCCTATCTCCAGAGTGTCCTACAGAATTCTCTATGTAGTCCTCTGTTGTGGTGAATAGCACCTTTCCATTCTGTTTTTAAAGACTTTTTTCTTGGGTCAGCACAGAGCTAAGAAACATGAACCTTATGTTCTAAAACATCAAAAGGGATATGATTCAATGATGAGATTTCCCTGAGCCTTGAAGTGATCTAAGAACCCTCGGTGTGTCTCTCAAGGCAGTTCATAGATGCAGCTTTATAAAACTCACTTGGCTCCCTAGGATATACACAGCTCTGTCTGCAGAAGTCACCCGCATCACCTCTGGTAGAAAGGCAGGAAAACAGACGCTGCTGTGCCTCCCAGGGATGACCTCTGTCAAGCAGAACAATGATACTGCACTTAAATCCACTTGCAGCCACACTGTAATTGGTGAGGGGCTGATCCATTCTTTGCAATAACTAAACCAGCAGATTAAGGACAGTTTTAGGCCAGAGAGCAAGTGTGCAAATGACACTGAAAGGTCAGCCTACAGTGAAATATGTCTTGAAGGACCTGAAGGGAGAAAGAGCAAGCAGAGGCCAGAGACTTCTCTGATTTTAAACAAAGAAATACCAGCAAGATGTTCCTGCAGAATTTGGCTGCACAGTCTCTTTACTTCAAAGCATCTCCAGCCTACGGAAAATATTAAAATGCTACACTGAAGTTGAGCAAAAGGAGCGAAAACACTCACTGTTGGGTGATGTGCATATTTCAGAACAGAGTGGCAGCTCTGTGGAATTCATTCATTTCAGAGGATGCCTAGCCTATTGTGCAACCTTGCAGGACTTGGAGAATTCAATCCAGCTCTGAGCCACCTACTGAATTTTGTTTAACCGGGAACAGTTGCAGTAAGTCTGTATAACTCGGAAAAGATGCAAAATACCAAATGTTTGGTACAAGCAAAGAGCAATATTTAAAGAGTCTGATTTCACCTAAGGTCTGAACTGAACAATCACAAAACTAACTAGAGATCTCCACTAACCCAATTTTTGCTATGGAATACACAAGTTCGGTACGAAATAAGGTTATTCCACAAAGCAGACTGGTTAATGGGAAAAGTGTGATGCATTATTTGTAACACAGATGTGCAGGACAGCGCCCATTTCAAAAGCAGCACAGTATCCTCACTGCACACCCCCACCCGGGGGAAAAAAAAAAAAACAGTGAGCAAATCTAAAATTAAGTGAGAATGAATTCTTGATCTATGTCCAATTCTGGGTAGCATTATGCTCCACTGGAGTCTTTTTAAAAAAAAAATTTTTTTTTTTTTTTTGCAACAATTCCCCTTCTCATCCCTCCTCTGATGCCCTGAGTGCACACAAAGACACACACATGCATACACAAGCCAGTCACTGTTCAGGGTCAAAGACAAAAAGAAAACTGAAGTATCCATCTCTGTATCAGCACCCCAATTCCAGGGGGCTCCAAATGCTAGCCTCAAAACCTTGTAGGCAAAGGTGTGTGGAGGGGGGATGAGGAATAAGGATCAGGAAAACGTGCTGGCAAGATAGTCTGGGGATGAGAAAAAAAGACAAGACCGACCCAAAGGATTCACTGTTCACCCAAGGTGAGCAGGCGGTTTGGATTGCCACCCTAATCCTCATTTCCAAGCTCCAGGCAAAAGAAAGATCTTTGTAAACTCCTTCTCCGCGCTGGGGCCCTGGGCTTGGCCAGAAGGGACACCTCTCTGTGTCGCTTTTAAAGGGCACCTTTGGAACAAAGGTTTAACACCTGCAAGCTCCTAAGAACAATGGCTGCTAGAGGAACCAAGTCATCAGTGTCTTAAATGAGCGGGGGATTCCCTATTCGCGTGGGGAGGGGAGGGGGATCGACAGAGGGAGAAATCCCCTGGGCAGCGGCAGCCGGCCCCGCGCACCGAGCTCCACGAGCCTCGGGGAGCACGCGCGTCCGTGCCCCCGCGCAGTCTCGCCGCCCTCCCCACCTCGGGCTCTCCCCAAAACGCCCCCGCTGCAGCCCGCCCCATCGTCTGCAATGGTCTAAAAACTTCTCAACTAGTCCAACATGGACAAATAAATAAACAAAACCATTTAACGAGGCCACGGATAATTATCCCGCGAATCTCCCTCCCCCAGGGTCGAAGGCTCGGCGACCTCCCGCCCCCGACTGCCACTTCCAAAGGGCCGGGAAACCTTTTCAAAAGACAAAAAGCAAAACCAAACCCCGGGCTCTTTACCTTGCACACCAGTTCCTCTCCGCTGTGCAGATGCACAGCACGAAAAACGTGGTCTCCCTCCAGAGGTTCCAACAATAAGTATTTTCCGATGCAAGAAACGCAATGCGACAAGTTCGGAGTCTCCGGCGGGCTCGGGGAGCCGAGGTTCGGGCTGAAACTCTGGCTGGGTTCGGCGGACCTTATAGACGACAACTCTTCGAAATCCTGGGTTTTGTTCCGCGATCTCCCATATCTCGCTATTGTGATGGGGGTAGACCTGTGTATGTTCATGAGTGTGGGGATCGCACACGACAAACAAAAAAACCCGCTGGAGAGAGGAGTCGCAGGCGAGTGCGGCTGCAGGCGCCTCTGTGCCACCGGTATAAAAAAGGAACCAGAGGGGAGGGGATGCAGAGGGGTTACGTGGAGAAAGAGTTGGAAGCCCCTGATGGGCTCCGCGAGCACCTCGTCCGCTCCGAGCCGGGCTCCCGCGGAGGGGGGTGCTCCGTCGAAAGGCAACTCGGGTCCTTTTGTTACCCCAAAGCAGCCAGCGATGTGCAGAATCGCCTCACTTTTTAGTTTTTCTCTCTCTTTTCCCAACTGGATGTAGATGAGTAACCGGAATGTTAAGGTGGAGAGCTGCGGCGCCGGGTTTCCCGAAGCGAACCCCAGGCAGCCTTCCGAATCGCAGACGGGGCGGAGAAGCCCGGCTGTAGTTTGTGCAGTCCTCGGGAGGCGCACGGCGGAGGCTCAGTCTCCACGCGTTAGAAACCAAACAAAAAGAAAAAAGGAAATAAGCACGGGTCTACCGGCTCGCGACGCACGGCAGCCAGAATCCGCGCTGCACCCCCTTTTTTGGTG